GACATGATACTGTACATAGAAAACTCTAAAGAATCCATAAAAAAATTACCAGACGTAATAAATGAATTTGGCAAGGTAACAGGATACAAAATTAACACCCAGAATTCTATGGATTTTTTTATACATCAATAATAAACTCACAGAAAGAGAAACAAACAACAACAACAAAAATCCCAGCTGAAACTGGTTTGGCTCAGTGGGTAGAGTGTCAGCCTATGGACTGAGGGGTCCCAGGTTCGATTCCAGTCAAGGGCACGTACATTGGTTGTGGGCACTTCCCCATTGGGAGGTGTGCAGGAAGCAGCTGATCAATGTTTCTGGCTTTCTATCCCTCTCCCTTCTTCTCTATAAAAAACCAATAAAATATATTAAAAAACAACAACAACAAAAAGAATCCCATTTACCATTGCAACAAAAACAATTAAGATACCTAGGAATAAGCTAAGGAAGTAAAAGACATGTACTTGGAGCACTACAGGACATTGAAAAAAAAGAGATACAGGAAAATATGGACAAATGGAAGAATATACCATGTTCATGGATTGGTAGAGTCAACATAATTAAAATGTCTATACTACTCAAAGCAATATATAGATTCAATGCAATCCCCACTAAGATAACAACAGAATATTTCACAGACCTAGAACAAACTCTCCAAAAATTCATATGAAATAAAAAAAGACCCTGAATAGCCACAGCAATCCTGAGAAAGAAGAACAAAGTTGGAGGGATCACAATACCAGATATCAAGCTATATTACAAAGCCACTGTTCTCAAAACTGCCTGGTACTGGCACAAGAACAGACATATAGATCAATGGAACATAACAGAGAACCCAGAAATCAATCCAACCCATTATGCTCAATTAATATTTGACAAAGGAAACAAAAGCAGACAATGGAGTAAAGATATTCTATTCAATAAATGACGTTGGGAGCCGAAACCAGTTTGGCTCAATGGATAGAGCGTCGGCTTGGGGACTGAAGGGACCCGGGTTCAATTCCGGTCAAGGGGATGTACCTTGGTTGCGGTCATATCCCCAGTAGGTGGTGTGCAAGAGGCAGCTGATCGATGACTCTCTCTCATCGATGTTTCTAACTCTCTATCTCTCTCCCTTCCTCTCTGTACAAAATCAATATTTAAAATATATTTTTAAAAAATGACGTTGGGAAAATTGGACAAATACATACAAAAAAAATGAAACTAGATAACCAACCATACACAAAAATAAACTCAAAATAGATAAAGGACTTAAACATAAGATGGGAAACCATAACAATTTTAGAAGAATCCATAGGCAGCAAAATATCAGCAATATCTTTACCAATACAGCTCCTAGGACAATGGAAACTAAGAGGAAATAAACAAATGGGACTACATCAAAATAAAAAAGCTTCTGTACAGCAAAAGAAACCATCAACAAAACAACAAGAAAGCCCACTGCATGGGAGAACACATTTGCCAATGCTATCTCTTATAAGGGTTTAATCTCCAAAATTTACAGGGAACTCATACAACTCAACAAATGGAAAATAAACAATCCAATCAAAAAACGGGCAAAGGACCTACATAGACGCTTTTCAAAAGAGGACATACAGAAGGCCAAGAGATATATGAAAAGATGCTCAAAGTCACTAATCATCCGAGAGATACAAATCAAAACAAGAATGAGGGACTATCTCATACCTTTCAGAATGGCTATCACCAACAAATCAACAATTGACAAGTGCTGGCGAGGATGTGGAGAAAAAGGAACCCTCGTGCACTGCTGGTGGGAATGCAGACTGGTGCAACCACTGTGGAGAACAATGTGGAGTTTCCTCAAAAAACTGAAAATGGAACTCCCATTTGACCCAGTAATCCCACTTCAAGGAATATAGCCCAAGAAATCAGAAACACCAATCAGAAAGGATATATGCACCCCTGTGTTCATAGTAGCACTATTCACCATAGCTAAGATTTGGAAACAGCCTAAGTGCCCAATAGCAGATGAGTGGATTACAAAACTATGGTGCATATACACAATGGAATACTATGTTGTTAAAAAAAGAAGGAATTCTTACCATTTGCAACAGCATGGATGGATCTGGAGAGCATTATGCTAAGTGAAATAAGCCATTCAGAGAAAGATAAATATCACATGATATCACTCATTTGTGGAATATAATGAACAACATAAACTGATGAACAAAAATAGAGCCAGAGGAAAAATATATTTTAGAATATAATATAAGTAATCCTGTTATTTGTAGATTTTTAATATTTCCTATAACTTTTGTGATATTATACTACGTTAGTATAGTTTTGGTAATATTATATATTTAAAATTGTTTTTTGAAATATTAATGTTTATTGCATGTAAGTGGCTAATTATTTTGTATGTATAATCTGGTAATGAATTTATTTTGTATATTGTAAAAAATAAATTAATTAAAAATAAAAATTAAAAAAAGAAAAAAGTAAAGCATAGGGGCCCAAACAGCGTGTCTCAGTGGTTGAGCATCGACCTATGAACCAGGAAGTCACAGTTGGATTCCTGGTCAGGGCACATAGCCAGGTTTGAGGCTCAATCCCCAGTAGGGATCATGCAGGAGGCAGTTGATCAATGATTCTCATCATTGATGTTTCTATTTCTCCCTCTTCCTTCCTCTCTGAAATCAATAAAAATATATTTAAAAATAAAGTAGTGAAGGAATTATTACCATTTGCAACAACATGGTTGAAACTAGAGAGCATTATGCCACATAAAATAAGCCAGTGAGTGAAAGAAAAATACCACACGATCTCACTCATTTATGGATAATAAAAAACATTATAAACTGATGAACAAAAATGGATACAGAGGCAGAGAAGCATCAAACAAACTGTCAAACTATAGCAGGAAGGCTGGGGAGCTTTGGGGAAATCAACCAAAGGACTTGTATGCATGCATATAAGCATAACCAATGGATGCAAGACACTGGGGGGAAGAAGTGAAGGCATGAGGTGGGGTGGGGGTGGGGTTGGGGGGGTGAGAGAGGTCAGGGGAATGTCCATGGCAAAAAATAGACATATGTACTACTCTTTGTAATACTTTAAACAAGAAAATAAATAAATAAATAAATAAATAAATAAATAAATAAATAAAGTAAGCATAAGGAATATTGTGAATAATATTGTGATAACTATGTATGGATACTGGGGGTATTAAGGGGAAACCTGTGTAAAGTCTATGATTGTCTAACCACTAATCTATACACCCAAAATCAAAACAAAATAATATTGCAAGTAAACTGTAATTAAAAAACTGTTCACTGCCGAAGCTGGTTTGGCTCAGTGGATAGAGTGTCGGTCTGCAGTTCAATTCCGGTCAAGGGCATGTACATTGGTTGCGGGCACATCCCCCGTAGGGGGTGTGCAAGAGGCAGCTGGTCGATGTTTCTGTCTCATCGACGTTTCTAGCTCTCTATCTCTTTCCCTTCCTCTCCGTAAAAAAAAAAAATCAATAAAATATATTAAAAAAAAAAAGAAAAGAAAGAAAAACAGTTTACTTTTTTTGAATTTTTTCTGAACACATACATTTGATGTTCAAACCAGGGTAGGCATAAATTTGTGTAAGAAGGTGAACCAAACTCTTCAATACAATTACTTATAGATGAAAAATTCACACTTCCAACATACGTACAAAATAAAGACTTTAAAGGTCAGTGTTACATTTAGTGTTTGCAGTGTTGTATGTATGCTGGGCAAGTATATAAAAGTAGAATATTTTCGAGAAAATTTCACTCAGAACACTTACTTTGACAGAGCATATTTTGTGCCACAAAACAACAAATTTTAATTTACTGAAATCATAAGAAATATGTTCTTTGCAACAAAGCAGCACTTAACTCTAAATGCCTATATTATTAAAAGATAAGAATCTTACGCCAGCTAACCTACCTTAAGAAACCTGAAAATAGCCCTGGCTGGCTTGGCTCAGTGGATAGAGCATCCGCCTGTGGACTGAAAGGTCCCAGGTTCAATTTCTGCCAAGGGCGCATGCCTGGGCTGCAGGCTCAATCCCCAGTCAATCAATGATCCTCTCTCATCATTGATGTTTCTATCTCTCTCTTCTTCTCCCTTCCTCTCTGAAATCAATAAATATCTATATCTATATCTATATCTATATCTATATCTATATCTATATCTATATCTATTAAAAAACCCTGAAAATAAAGAGCAAAAGAAAGTGAAAGCAAGCAAAAAAATCAGGGAATAATATAGATAAGAATAGAAATAAATGGAATATTAGGCAGACTATAGGGGGAAAAAATCAATAAAACCTAAAGGTGGTCCTTTGAGATGATCAATACAATGGCTAACTTTCTGGCTAGACCTATCAGGATAAAAATGAGACGATGTCAACATTCCCAATATCAAGAACGACAGAAGGAACTTTCCTACTGATTGCACAGACATTAGAAGGTTAATAAAGGAATACTATGAAACAAACTATGGACTTGTGTATCTGATGCTGAATGCGGACATCACTCAGGCAGGAAATAGCTCCCCTCATGTGTGATCGATACCTCCTTAAAAAGGATCCCTAAGTTCCATCCCATGACCCCTTCATCTGGAGGCCCCCCCCCAAACACCCCCCTTCCTCATCCTATCCCTTCAACGGTGTTGATTGTGCTTTGGGTGTCTACAACACAAAGGTTCTACGGTGGCCTGGCAGAAAGTGCCCTGCCCTAGGCCTCGTTCTAGAATCCAGGACCATCCTTCCCAGTTTCCTTGCGGGAACATGTCTGGCGCCTCCCGTTTGAAAAGCCACCTCACAATGAAACAGGTCTCGGGGTCCGGGGCAAGCTGACCCGCGGGTCAGCCCTTTCTTTCGTCACCCCGGGGGCGCCCCCCGTCGCCAGGGGGTGTGGCCCGTTGCTCAGTCCGCTGGCCGCTCAGTCCGCTAACAGGAAGAGGAGGAGCCACACTTCAGCAGCCATCCATCTCCCTCGTGGCCGGCGGTCTACGACACACACATGGGGTCATCTGTGTCCAAGGCTGCCCTCGAAGCGACCACGGATGAGCTCGTGGAACCAGACTCGAAACACCTAGCTGGTGAGTAAGGGATCCAGTGGGGGTGACTCACGAGATTTAAGTAGGAAGAGTAGGAAGTCTAGTGGTTTGAGCGCCTCTACATGGCGGGCGCCCCCTCCCCCCCCCCCCCCCCCCGCGAGCCCCCCTCTCCGCGATCTTCGCTGCTGTAGGACCGGTGAGATCGGATTTTCACTTCTCGTCACCTCCGATGGGGCCGAGAAGAGAACGACTGGACTTGTAAACTCCAAACTGTAAGTTATTCAAAGAGCTTAAGGCACAACAGGTGGGGGGTACCAACACAGGCTTCTGAGAGAAGTCTCAAGTCTCAAAGGCCACCCCACGCCCCGTGACATTCAGTGGGTCCTTCTGAAATAAAGGGAGGAAACGTTTATCAAGCTGATCTTCCCTGCTGGGCTGGTGTGGCTCAGTGATTGAGCGTCCACCCATGAACCAGGAGGTCATGGTTGGAATCCCTGTCAGGCACATCCTGGGTTTCCGGTTCTACCCTAATAGGGGCCGTGAGGGGAGGCAGCTGATCAAGATTCTCATCATTGATGTTTCTATCTTCCTCTCCCTTCTCTCTGAAATCGATTTAAAAAAAAACCATTAAGATCTCTTACCCTTGGAGACAGCGTGGAGGGACCTGGAGGGTATTGTGTTAAGCAAAATAAACCAGTTAGAGAAAGAGAAGTATCATACGATCTCACTTTTACGTGGAATCTAATGAAGAAGATAAACGGATGTACTACAAAACAAATCTAGAGACATTGAAACAAGCAACAGACTGATGTATTTTAGAAGGGGTGAGGGAGGGGAAGAGATTAAACAGAGTTTATATACATATATGCATAGCCCATGGAAAAACAATGGTGCCTGGAAGGCCTGGGGAGGGGGCGGGAGGGAGCTGGAGGAGGCCAAATGGGAGGGGGGAAGAAGGGGACATTTGTAATCCTCTCAACAGTAAAGTTTTTAAAAAATTGAAAAAAAGCAGATCTTCCCATGGGCAATCCTAATTTAAGGCCCCTGAATAGGCTTTAGGGTTTCCATGGCAACCTTTTTTGTGTTTCCTGTGAATGTTTCCAGGGAAAGAATTTTGATTTTCACAGCTTTTGCTCAAAGACAGAAGAGATCTCCCCACTCCCTATTGTTTGAGTCCGTTGTGAGTAGGGACTTTATAAATATTATGTGCTATTGGCTATACACATAAATCCTACTGCTTTTAAAACCTTTATAACTGATTCATTCTTTTGATCACCTCTTCTTTGGGTATTTTCTTTTAAAACTCCATTGACTTAATATGTATTTTTCTTCTGAAACGTTATCTGATCATTATGACAATGTGCATGTATTATGGCAACTAACAGTTCACTAAGTGAAATAGGTTAACTTTCTTTTTTTTAAATATATTTTATTGATTTTTTACAGAGAGGAAGAGAGAGGGATAGAGAGAAAATTGATGAGAGAGAATCATCGATCAGCTGCCTCTTGCACACCCCCTACTGGGGATGTGCCCACAACCAAGGTATATGCCCTTGACTGGAATCGAACCTGGGACCTTTCAGTTCACAGGCCAACGCTCTATCCACTGAGCCAAACCGGTTTCGGCAAGTTAACTTTCTTTATATACATATACATATACATATACATATACATATACATATACATATACATATACACATACACATACACACACACACACACACACACACACACACACCACACACACGAGAGTCCCAGTACACAAATTTGTGCACAGGAGGGGTCTGGCTGGCTGGCCTGGCTTATTTGGGGAGGATCCGGGCTGGGCCTGTTGGGAGGAGGAGATGGTGGGAGGTTGACTGGCCAGCCCGCTCTGATTGGCCCAATCAGGGCCTGTTTGGCTGGGGGAAGGGGCTATACCCCTGATTGGGGTTGGGGGGCTGGTTGGGAGTGGGGGCAGCCATGGGGAGGTGCTGTGGGTGATGTGATGGCGGGTCCTGCCCCTGAATGGGGTTGAGGGTGCCCACTGGAGGGCCAATGGCCTGGGGGAGGGGCCATGGGTGGTTGGCAGCCAGCCCTGCCCCTGATTGGGGTGAAGGGCTGATCTTGGGTGGGGCTGGGTGGGGGGAGGGGCTACAGGAGGTTGGCCAGCTGGCCCAGTCCCCTATTATGATGGGGGGGTACAATCAGGGGTGGGGTGGCTGTGGGGGGTTGCAGGAGGTTGGCCAGCCAACCTTACCCCCTATCTGGCTGGTTTGCTGGCTACAATGGTTGTCATAGCGACTGGTTGTTAGGTCATTATGGCCGTTATGGCAACTGGCTTATTAGAAAGATACCTTTGAAAGTTTGCTGAATATTATCCTGGGCAGGCTCCATGCTAGATTCTGGCACAATATATAGTATATTATCTAGTCCTGGATGGTAATGTAATATGTATGTACCATAATGGGCTTCTCAAGACCTAAAGGACAAGCAGTAGTTTCCTGTGTGAATAATTGAATCTGGGTTTACAGTTAGGGTCTGCCCATTGCTCCAATCCATTGGTATATTGGCGACACACTTTCTTTTTCTTTTTTTTAATATATTTTTTATTGATTTTTTACAGAGAGGAAGAGAGAGGGATAGTTAGAAGCATCGATGAGAGAGAATCATCAATCACCTGCCTCTTGCACACCCCCTACTGGGGATGTGCCCACACCAAGGTACATACCCTTGACCGGAATCGAACCCGGGACCTTTCAGTCCGCAGGCCGACGCTCTATCCATTGAGCCAAACCGGTTTCGGTGGTGACACACTTTCTCAGTCCCTATTCTAGTGCTATGTATGTGAAGATGCTGACTAATGAAGAGGTACTAGGGAAGAAGTTTGATAATGAGAATTTCTAGTTTTGAAAGCAAAAAATATTTTGAGCTGATAAACTACAGGGAACTGTTGCATGTTCTTGAATGGGAAATGAAATGATGAAAGATAGTTGTTGAGTGGCTGTATGAAATAAATTGATGAATGGTTATAACCCCAAGGCAAGAAACTGGAAGCTGTTTCAATAAAGCAAGGTCAAGGTTATGAAGGGGAAGTGGACTCAAGAAGAACTAATAAGGAGTTAAAAGATGCAAACAAAATGGCTCTAGCCAGTTTAGCTCAGTGGATAGAGTGTTGGCCTGTGGACCAAAGGGTTCGATTCCGGTCAAGGGCACGTATCTCGATTTCAGGCTCCCCCTGGCTGGGGCTCTGGTTGGGCACAACCAATTGATGTGTTTCTCTCACACAATGTTTCTCTGTCTTTCCCTCTCTCTTTCACTCTCCCTAAAAAATCAATGGAAAAATACCCTTGGGGGAGGATTAATTAAAAAACTAAAAGGTCAAATGTAATGTTACACTACAGAGACACTACCATGAACCTTCATGGTATGACACTTTCCTTAAGAGAGACAGTATCGCCGGGACCGGTTTGGCTCAATGGATAGAGCGTCGGCTTGGGGACTGAAAGGTCCCGGGTTCGATTCCGGTCAAGGGCATGTACCCTGGTTGCGGGCATATCCCCAGTAGGGGGTGTGCAAGAGGCAGCTGATCGATGACTCTCTCTCATCGATGTTTCTGACTCTCTATCTCTCTCCCTTCCTCTCTGTATAAAATCAATAAAATATATTTAAAAAAAAAAAAAAAAAAAAAAAAAGAGAGACAGTATTGCCCTAGCAGCTGGTTGTGCTCAGCGGATAGAGCATCAGCCTGTGAACTGAAGGGTCCCAAATTCTATTCCAATCAGGGGCACATGCCTGGGTTGCGGGCTCAGTCCAACTTGCAGGATGCAGCCAATCAATGATTCCTTCTTATAATTGACTAGAGGCCTAGTGCGTGAAATTCATGCACTGGGGAGGAGTGCCCTTCAGCCACGCCTTCACCCTCTCCAATCTCGGACCTCTGAGGGGATGTCTGACTGCCGGTTTCGAGATCGGGCCTAAACCAGCAGTCAGACATCTCTCTCACAATCCGAGACTGCTGGCTCCTATGCTTGCCTGCTTGCCAGCCTGATCACCCCCTAACCACTCCCCTGCAAGCCTGATCGATGCTTAACTGTTCCCCTGCCTGCCCAATTGCTCCCAATTGCCTTCCCCTGCTGGCCTGATCACCCCCAACTGCCCTCCCTTATTGGCCTGGTAACCCCCAACTGCCCTCCCCTGCCAGCCTAGTTGCCCCCAACTGCCTTCCCCTGCTGGCCTGCTCCCCCCTGAACTGCCCTCCCCTGTCAGTCCGATCACTTCTAACTGCCTCCCCCTGCTGGCCTGATTGCCCACAACTACCTTCCCCTGCAGGCCATCTTGTGGCAGCCATCTTTGCCCACATGGGGTTGGTCAACTTGTGTGAGGGTGTGAGAGTCAATTTGCATATTACCTTTATTATATAGGATATGTCCATCTCTTCCACTCTGAAATAAAATATCTATATCTATATATCTATAAGATATAGATATATACACCGAGTGGCCAGATTATTATGATCTCTGAATGCATAATAATCTGGCCACTCAGTGTATATCCTATATAATAAAAGGCTAATATGCAAATTGTCCCTTCGACCAGGAATTCAACCAGCAGGCAGGCTGGCCAACTGCCATGTCCCCTCCCCCTGGCCAGGCTGGCCGGATCCCACCCATGGACAAAGTCATGCACCGGGCCTCTAATATATATACTGAGTGGCCAGATTATTATGCGTTCAGAGATCATAATAATCTGGCTACTCAGTGTAGATATAGATACTTTATAAAAGAGAGGCAGTATGACATAATGATTAATGACTTGGTGTCCAGGGTCAAACAAACTCGATTTCCAAGCCCAGTCCTGCCACTGAACTATTTGTATGTCTGTGGCTATGTTACTTACCTTCTTTCTTTCTTTCTTTTTTTTTATTGATTTAAGAGAGGAAGGGAAAGGGAGAAAGAGACACAGAAACATCAGTGATGAGAGAGAATCATTGATCAGCTGCCTCCTGCATACCCCTTACTGGAGATCAAGTCTGCAACCTGGGCATGTGCCCTTGCCCAGAATTGAACCTGGGACCCTTCAGTCCTCAGGCTGACACTCTTTCCATTGAGCCAAACCAGCTAGGGCTGATACTTACCTTCTTGAGTCCTATTCACTTAACAATTATTTACCATAACCTGTTAGGTAGCAATTACGGTGCTGGGTCTCAGGGATATAGTGGTGACCACAACAAACACAGTCCCTACCATCATCAAGTAGATAGAGCAATAAGGTAGATAGGCATTAAATGTTATATAATATGTCATTACAAATGGATACTTATAATGCAGTAGAGTTAACAGTTTCGGTTTTGAAAGCTAGTTCTCAGCCTGCATTGTAATGCTTGTCACTGTCTTCTAATCTAGATATCACTCACTACGTTAATGCATCAAATATGGGTGTCAAACGCCTGGCGGAAGTTCTTTTTGAGAAATCAAAGAACAGCAGCTGGGTGGTGGTGTTCAAAGCCCTGATTACGGTTCATCACCTTATGGTGCATGGAAATGAGGTGAGCGTGGCGTTCATACAATGGTAGTCATTTCCAACTGCAGAAACGTTCTTGGTTTTGTCAAGGCTTAACCACCTTTTACTTTCAATTATGATAAGTAGGGGAATTAATAGTTGTGAGTATTAAAAAAAAAACACCTGATTTTTTTCATTTTTTGCATATGAATATATTTTTGTAATCAGTAGTTGAGGTATATACTATTATTTTAGCCACTGGATAAAAAGTGGACAATTGATTGGATATTTCACTCAATTGTTTAGATGATTTAGACCAAAAAGAGAAAGCCCTCAAAGATGTATTGTTTGTACATCTGACAAAGGGTTAATATCCAAAATATCGATACATAAGGAACGTAACAAAAGGAAGACAAACAAAACATGGGCAAAGGACCTAAATAGACATTTATACAAAGGAGACATACAGAAGGCCAAGAGGCATATGAAAATAGCTTAAAGTCACTGATCATCAGAGAGATGCAAATTCAAACAACAATGAGGTATCACCTCACACCTGTCAGGATGGCTGTCATCAACAAATCAACAAATGACAAGTGCTGGCGAGGATGCGGAGAAAAGGGAACCCTAGCACACTATAGGCATGAATGTAGACTGGTGCAACCATTGTGGAAAAAAGTATGCAGTTTCCTCAAAAAGTTGAATATGGAACTGCCATTTGATCCCACTTCTAGGAATATATACTAAGAATCCCAAAACACCAATCAGAAAGAATGTATGTACCCCTGTGCTCCTAGCAGCACAATTTGCAATAGCTAAGATCTGGAAATGGCTGAAATGCCTATCAGTAGACCAGTCAATAAAAAAAAGCCATGGTACATTTACACCATGGAATACTATGCAGGATCTCTTACCCTTTGAGACAGCATGGAGGGACCTGGAGAGTATTATTCTAAGCAAAATAAGCCAGCCAGAGAAAGACAAGTATCACATGAAATCACTTACATGTGGAGTCTAGAGAACAAAATAAACTGACGAACAAAATAGATCCAGAGATGTAGAAGCATAGAATAGACTGAGGAATCTCAGAGGGGATATAAGGGTGGGTGGGAAGAGAGCACCCAAAGAACTTATATGCATATATGCATAGCCCAAGGAAACACACAATAGGGTAGTCAAGGCCTGGGGCAGGGTGGGGGTGGGCTAGAAGGGATCAATGGGGAGGAAAAAGGGACATATGTAATACTATCAACAATAAAGATTTAAAAAAAATGTATTTCTACATAACTGATTTACTTTATCAGGTTAAACTGGATACCTGAGTATATGACATCACCTGTCCATCTCTCTTCACATACAAACTCTCTTTGTATTTTATAGAACTGAAGTGTTCTAAAACAAATTACTATTTTCTACTTCAAATTAACTTTTTATCTCAGTAAGCTTTGCATAAAAAATTAGGATTTAGAAATTTCTTGGATTTTGAAACTTATTAAGCAACAGGAATTACATAGTAGTGCTGATAAAAATAGACCATTTATATAAATAGAACTCAGTGGAGAGAGCTCAGAAGAAGAACTCTGCTTGTATGGAAGCTTGGTGGCATTAAAATATGGAGGAACTGATGGAATTTAAAATAAAGCCTTTGGTACAAGTAACATCTCTATGGAGAAAATAGAATGAGATCTTTATTTTAATCCTTATACCAAAATAAATTCCACATGAATGAAATATCGATATATGCAGAGCCCTAAATTTTAAAATCAAAGAAAATGTAGGAGAATATGGTGGTGACCTTTTAGTAGGGAAGACGCCATAAAGTTGGAATAAGATTTTATATATTACACACAAAAGATTAATATTCAGAATACATTATTCATAAGAAAAGGGCAGTACAATGGAATAATGAACAAAAGAAATGAACAGAAAATTTATAGAAAAGGAAACCAGAATGGCTGATAACCATTAGAGAACATGCTCAAAGAAGCAAAGTTGAAAATGCATGGCAGCATCGAGTTGTGAAGACCTTGAGAAAATGGTAACTGATATACCATTGAGTGACATACCAATATTAGTTCTTGCGGTATAATACTGTCAAAGGAAAGTTTTGAGACATGTTTAGTAAAACTGAAAATGCTCAGTGTCCCAGCAAGCCCACAACTCATAGCATATCTATCTATAATAACAAAAGCCTAAGCGACCATCGCAACCGAATGGACAATTGAACAGGCTGCGTGGGTCGACCAGGCTGGCAGGGGGATTAGTGAGGGGCAACCAAACAACTGAGCAGCAGGCTGTGTGGGGAGACAAGGCCTGCAGGGGGAACAGTTGGGGGCAATCAGGCCAGCGGGGTGGGGTGGGGTGGGGCAGTGAGGGGCGACAAGGCTGGAAGAAGGGCAAGTTAGCAGCAACCAGGCCAGTGGGGGGGGGGCAGTTAGGGGCAACCAGGCTTGTTGGGGGGACATTGTGGGCCACTAGGCCATCAGGGGGGGGCAGTAAGGGGCAACCAGGCCAATGGGGGGATAGTTAGGGCCAACCAGGCCAGCAGGGGGGCAGTAAGGGGATTACCAGGCCAGTGGAGGTGCAGTTAGGGGCAACCAGGCCAGCCGGGGGGGGGGTGGTAGTTGGTGGCAACTGGGCTGGCAGGGTAGGCAGTTGGGGGTGACCAGGCCAGCAGGAGGACAGTTAGGGGTGATCAGGCAGGCAGGCAGGTGAGCAGTTAGGAGCCAGTATTCCCGGATTGTGAGAGGGATGTCTGACTGCCAATTTAGGCCTGATCTCCAGGATCGGGCCTAAACTGGCAGTCAGACATCCCCCAAGGGGTCCCAGATTGGAGAGGGTAAGGCTGGGCTGAGGGAACCCCCTCCCCATGCACAAATTTCATGCACCAGGCCTCTAGTATATATATATATATATATATATATATATATATATATATATATATATATATATATATATATATATATAAAGAGCCAGGGTCCTTAACGTCCAAAACAACCAAAGGGATGATCGAACGCCAGGCTGTGCATGCATCAGGCTCAGGTGGGCAGGGACTGGCGAGTGGGCTGAACTGCTGACCTGTCAGAGAGAGAGAGGTGGGGTTGATCTGCAGCTGCTGGCAAGGCCTGGAGAGAGAAGCAGAGTTTGATTCGCAGCCTCCATGGCAGTTGCTGATCAGCCCTTGCTATATATCTCTCTGGGTATCGCCAGCAACCGCTCCTCTCTTTTTCCAAGAGGCCAGTATTTCAGCCAGCTTGCCAGTAGCCTGGGGTGGCTGCTGATCATCCCCGCCTCTCTGATCAGTCCCAGAGATAGACCCGGAGACTCTGACTGGCATAGAAACTGACCAGTGAGAACCTAATCTGGGTGAACTGGGAAGGCAGAAACTAAGGTAGGGTCTGAGGAGGGATTTTAAGGGCAACAGCTGCTTGGTGTAAGGTATAAGAAAGCAGTTCAACTTTTTAATGACTGGTTTGGCAGTATAGTGCATATGGCTGGCTATCAGTCCAGATATAGGGATTATGTATTTTTGTTTGCCAAGAGCATCTCCTCCTGCTGAAAAGGGCTCCCCCCCCCCATTTAAACAACCCTATTCTATATATCTATACTAATAAAAGGGTAATATGCTAATTGGACCAGGTCAACTGGCCATCTTCTGGATGTCCAACTTCCTTCCGGACAAAGCCATGGTGGTGGGGGCTGAGGCAGAAGTAGTTAGGGTGATTAGGCAGGCAGGGGAAGCAGTTGGAGGCGAGATCAGGCTGGCAGGCAGAGGCAATTAGGGGCAATCAGGCAGAGAGGTTAGAGGTGATCAGGCAGGCAGGCAGAGGGGTTAAGGGCAATCAGGCAGGCAGGCAGAGGCAGTTAGGGGCAATCAGGCAGGCAGACAGGTGAGTGGTTAGGAGCCAGTGGTCCCAGATTGTGGGATTGGACCTAAACCAGCAGTCAGACATCCCCCAGGGGTCCCTGATTGGAGAGGGTTCAGGCTGGGCTGAGGGAACCCCCCATGGACGAATTTCATGCACCAGGCCACTAGTTTATAATATTTAGAAAGAAGAAATCACCCCAATACCAATAGTAGGAAATAGATAACTAAAATTAGGTGCATTTATACAATGAGATACTATATTCCATGAAATACAATCTATACCAACAAGGCTAGATCTCAAAAAGTAATGTTATTAGAGATAGCAAGTTGCAAAATGGTAGAGTATAATATTGTTTATATAAGTTTTTAAATGCACTTAATATTTTCCATGGAATAAATAATATATGACACTATAAAGGAAATAGACTAAAGATAGCACATTAAAATCACAATATAGGTATCCTCAGGTAGGAGAAGGAAATTGACCTTAGGGATGGGGCTAACTTAATCTGTAATACTTTAATCCTCTTATTTTAAAAAATAGACTTGAAGTAGATATGTCAAAAAGCAGTTGTCATTTCTGGGTAGTGAATGTATAAAAATTTTATTTTTCTGTAAATTAATGTATTAAGTAATTTACTATTAATTAAAATAATCAATTTTATAATAAGTAAATGTTACAGAAATGAAAAAGGGGGAATGGCTAGATAGAAAGTCTTGGGGAGAAGGGGGAGGAATCGTGTGTATACACATGAGCTTTGATGTTTAATACCTTATGTACTTGGGAGGTATATAGACAGAGGACAACACTACAGGCCCTTATGCTGTGTAACTCAGGATATGATCCCACTCACCTTAATGCTCATGAAGTATATAGAAGCTGAGCTGTAGGATAGAATTATGCTAAGAATTCATTCCCAATGGCAAAATCATTTATTAACTCTATTTGTGAACAAACTAATCTTTGGATTTGGCACATTTGTTTGACAGCGTTTTATCCGTTATCTTGCATCTCGAAGCTCTTTGTTCACTTTACACAACTTCCTGGATAACAGTGTCATAGAAGGTAAGATGGTTCTTTTATGGGTAAGATGGTTCTTTTATGGAAATATCTCTATGTGGCCTGGCCAGCATGGCTCAGTGGTTGAGCATCGACCTAGGAACCAGGAGGTCAGGTTTTGAGTCCTGATCAGGGCACATGCCCAGATTGCAGGATCATTCCAACCTATGAACCAGGAGGTCACGGTATGATATACTCAGGTTGCAGGCTCGATCCCCAGTGTGGGGCATGTAGGAGGCAGCCAATCAATGACTCCCTCTCGTTGATGTTTCTATCTTTCTCTCCTCTCTTCCTCTCTGAAATCAGTAAATATATATATTTTAGAAAAGGTATGTTTGGAAGTTGAATAGTGAGGAGCTGAGTTTCCTTCATGGCCCTTTTCTCTCTCTTTTTGCCATGAAGTAGGGAATAAGGTAATTTTCTGCATGGAGGGAGGGTGGGAGAGGGATGACTCCCACGAGATGGGGAGTTTTAGAAAAATGCTAAGGATTTGCAATAGTTTTCATGGAAATGTGAAAGAAATCAATAAAGTTTAATTATTTCCAGTGATCAGGAATGACACCATCAGCACCACATCCTGAGGTTATATCAAGGCTTTGAGGAAATAAAAAATAATCATTAGAAACTTGAGGAACATTGGACTAGATGATTAATAAAGGCCATTATAGCTTTTGTATTTCAAAGATAATTGTTGAGGTGTATGGGTGAATGTGGAATGAGAGGATTTTGCATTTATTGACATACTGGAGCCCAGAGCATAAATTCATGTTCCGGTGGGGTCCAGCCAGCCTGGCCTCAATTAGGGGGGATCGGGGCTGGGCCTGTCAGGAGGAGGAGATGATGGGAGGTTGGCTAGCTGGCCTGGCCAGAACAGGGCCCAGTCAGTGCTGGGCCAGCTGGGGGAAGGGGCTGTGGATGATTGACCATCAGGCCCCCCATTGGGATTGGGGGGCCGATTGGGGCCATGTGGAGGGGCTGTGGGCAGTAGACCGGCTGGCCCTGCCTCTGAATGGGGTGGGTGAGGGTGCTGACCAAGGTCCAGTGGCCTGGAGGAGGGGCCATGGGTGGTTGGCCAGTGGCCCTGCCCTTGATCAGAGTAGGGCCAATCTGGGTTGGGGCTGGCGAGGGGGAGAAGGGGGGGTGGGCCTGCAGGAGATTGGCCAGCCAGCCCTGTCCCCTATTGGGGTGGGAGGGGTGATCAAGGCTGGGGCAGGCAGGGGTGGGGAGGTGAGGGAGTGGGGGGAGGGGCTACAGGAAGTTGGTTGGCCAGCTCTGCCTCCTATTGAAGTGGAGTGACAATCAGGGGCAGGGCTGGCCACTGCAGGCCGATCAGGGTAGTGAGGGCCATTCGGGGTTGTGTCTAACTGGGGGGAGGGGCTGCAAGAGGTTGGGTGGCCAGCCCTGCCCCCTATTGGGGTGCAGAGGTGCATTCAAGGGTGGGCCTATCATGGTGGGGCGGGTTGATTGGGGGCAGGGCTGGCTGGGGGGAAGGGAGGGGGCATTTGTCCAGCAGGCCCTGCTCTTGATTGGGGTGGGAGAGTCTAAACAGGGGCAGGCTGGCACGGGCTAGGGGGTGGTGGCCCCATCCCCTAATTGGGCCAGTTCTCTGGCTACAGTGGGCATTATAGTGACTGGTCGTTAGGTTGTTATGGCCATTAGGGTAGCTGCCTTTTTATATATAGACTAGAGGCCTAGTGCATGAAACTTGTGCATGGGTGGGGGGGAAATGTCCCTCAGCCCAGCCTGCACCATCTCCAATCTGGGATCCCTCTCACAATCCTGGACTGCTGGCTCCCAGAAGCTCGCCTGCCTGCCTGCCTGATTACTCCTAACCACTTCTGCCTGCCAGCCTGATAATCCCCTAACCATTCCCCTGCCAGCCTGATCAATCCTAACTGCTCCCCTGCCAGCCTGATTGCCCCAAACTGTCCTCCCCTGACAGCCTGATCACCCTTAATTGCCCTCCCTTGCTGACCTGATTGCCCCTAATTGTCCTCCCTTGCAAGCCTGGTCCCCCCTAACTGCCCTCCATGCAGGCCTGGTCACCCCCCACTGCCCTCTCCTGCAGGCCTGGTGACCCCCAACTGACCTCCCCTATAGGCCTGGTCCCCCCCAACTGTTCTGCATGCAGGCCTTGTCACCCCCAACTGCCCTCTCCTACAGAACTGGTTTTTCCAAACTTCCCTCCTCTGTCAGCCCTGTCACCCCTAACTTCCCTCCCCTGCAGGCTTAATTGCCCCCAACTGCCTTCCCTTGCAGGCCTGGTCCTTCTCAACTGCCCTCCCTTGTTGGTCTGATTGCCCACAACTGCCCTCCCCTGCCAACCATCTTGTGTCCACATGGGGGCAGCCATCTTTGACCATATGGGGGCAGCTATTTTGTGTGTTGGAGTGACAGTCAATTTGCATATTACTCTTTTATTAGAAATGATATTACAAATAGTTAATATTGGTTAAATTAGAAATAATGAAAATATCTTATTTTTAGGCTATGCTATGTCAATCTTCATCAGACGATACAGCAGGTACTTGAATGAAAAGTCACTCGCATATAGACTGATCTCATATGACGTCACCAAAACCAAAAGAGGGTCAGTAACTATCATTCGTTTGTAAGCAAGAGATACAGAAATAAATATGTGCTCTAATATGTAGTTTGTAAAAACAACAACTGTATTTCAAGATGTTGTCATAGTGCTTCTTGAACTCTTAATTATTAATGTTATGAATTTCTTTGATCTTTTATAGGCTGGATGGCTTTATGAGAAATATGAATACTAAAGACCTGCTAAACACACTTCCAGTTATTCAAACTCAGTTTGATGCTCTTCTTGGCTTTAATGTAAGAGCTTTATTAATCCTTTATCAAAATATTGGTAAATGGCATTGTTTGACTGTAGGTGGGGGAAGAAATTTTTTTTAACTGGGTGATAATTGATTACTCTTTTACTTAATTTCCAGGCAAATGCAAATGAGCTAACTAATTGTATAATACGTGCTGCTTTCATGCTCCTCTTTAAGGATTCTCTTCGCCTCTTTGCAGTCTATAATGAGGGAATTCTCAATCTGCTAGGTAGGCTAAAGAATAAACATTATATACTTTTATAAATAGTTTATTTATAAAAATCTTTTATGTCTATACTTAGACTCATTTGTTTTATTTTTTCCTGTTTTTTTTACTTACATTTTTAATTTTTATTTTGTTATTTTTTTATTTTTTAAAAATCTTTATTGTTGTATTACATATGTAACCTTTCCCCCCCATCGATCCCCTTCAGCCCACTCTCACCCTCCACCCCAGCCCCTCACCTGCCTGTGGCCATGGGTTATGCATATTTGCATACAAGTAGACTCATTTGTTTTAGATTCAAAATAGAGATACTTGCATGATCATATATATTTTTAAATAATGAGACATTATATTGCTCTTTTGATTAAAAATTTGCTTAATTATCCACAGAACTTTTCAGTATTTTTATAATAGTTAGCCACAGAACTTTTCAGTATTTTTATGTGCTACCTGACATTTTGGGGAAATTTACCAGGGAATCAACATGCCTTGCCATCTTTCTGCATTAAGGCCCACTCCACCAAGGTCAAAAATACGGTTCTGACTTTTGTAGGAAAATAATAAGTAATTGTTGTAGTTTATATACAGGCATATATTTCTTAGTTTTTTCAGGAATTATCTGTCATTATTTCACCCCAGTGAATGATCATTTCATAGGAAGGGTTCTCCAGACTTCATTGATGAGAATTTGAGATTTTTCTTACACTTATAGAGTTACTAGAGGCCTGGTGCACGAAAATTCATGCACTGGAGTTGGGATCCCTAGCCCAGCCTACCCCCTCTCACAGTCTGGGAGCCCTCAGGGGCGAGAGGCGACCTGGCAATCAGGGGAATGTGACACCCCATCACACCTCTGCTGCTGCCACTGCTGGCAGCACAAGCCTCGGACGGCCCTGGTTACCTGAGCCTCAGGCAACCCTGTGCCGCTGGGCAGCCACCATCCAAGGCTTGCCCGCATCTCGGGCCAGCCCTGGGTGCCTGGGGGGCTGAGGGGGCTGGGGGACTCAGGAGGAAGGTGCATAGAGTGTATGGGCCCACCCCCAGGCCTGCCACCCCAGTGGGGCTGAGGGGATTAGGTGCTGCCATCTTGTGGCTGTGAGCACCACCATTTTTGAGGGCATGGTGGTCAATTAGCATATTCCCTCCTTATTGACTGTGGGTGCTGCCATCTTTGTGATGGTGTGAGGGTTAATTAGCATATTCCTCTTTATTAGATAGGATAAAAGAGTGGAAAGCACAGCCTCTTCCCTGAGAGCATTCATAGTTTCCAAAATGATTACATATTAGAAATTGAATCTAAATTATCCAAACAAACTCTGTATGCTATTAAATTCCAGATGTGCCCAGCTGGTGTGGTTCAGTGGTTGAGCATTGGCCTATGAACCAGGAGGTCATGGTTCAATTCCCAGTCAAAGCACATGCCCGGGTTGTGGGCTGGATCCCCAGGAAGCAGCTGATCATTATTCTCTCATCATTGATGTTTCTCTCTCTCTCTTTTCCTTCCTCTCTCTGAAAACAATAATTACATCTTTTTTAGCAATGCTAGGTATATTTTCAGAACCAGTGTTTGGCATGCAGTAGTTACCACATAAAAATCTTTTAAATCTATCTATCTATCTATCTATCTATCTATCTATCTATCTATCTATCTATCTATCATCTATCTATCTATTGTAGTGCTTTTTAAAACAGAAAATAACTGTATTAAAACTATAATTATTTTGCTCATGAAGTCCTGGGAGGAGTGGGTGTGGGGTTTAGGGGGTCAATGGGAAAAAAAGTGTGTGTGTGGGGGGAACATCTGCAATTCTTTCAAAATAGATACATCTTTTAAAAACTATTAATTATTTTTTAAAGTTAAATTCACATCCAAAATCAGCTTAAAATAGTATCATTAGAATGGAGTGAAACTTGAAAATTTCTAAGTTATTGACTCCTTCATGGCAATTCTTTTTTCTATTTTTAGACAAGTTTTTTCACATGACGAAGCGCCAGTGCAATGAAAGTCTGGACATTTACATCAGGTTCCTTGCAGGAACAACCAAATTGGAACAGTTCCTGAAGATTGCAAAGGTATACAACTCTTTCTATCCAACGCTTTTCTATTTTCTTTATTAGTTTAGTATCCAATATAACTTTCCCCCCTACCACCACCACCACCACACAAACACACAGACATTTCTATTAGTTTTAACTGTTTTGTAAACAGTAAAACTAAAAACTAAAATTAAGTACCTCAAATGTACTATCCAAATGCAGTTGTGCACAAAATTAATCTTAAAGGGATTAAATATATATATAATAATCTGGCCACTCAGTGTATATATATTAAAGGCCTGGTGCATGAATTCGTGCATGGGAGGAGGGGACATGGGCAGTTGACCGGCCTGCCCGCTGGTCGAACTCCTGGTTGAGGGGACAATTTTCATATTAGCCTTTAATTATATAGAATATACACTGAGTGGCCAGATTATTATGAGTTCAGAGATCATAATCTGGTCACTCAGTGTGTGTGTGTGTGTGTGTGTGTGTGTGTGTGTGTGTGTGTGTGTATTCAGAGAGGAGAGGAGTGGGATAGAGAAACAGAAATATCAATGATGAAAATCATGATCAGCTGCCTCCTGTATATCCCCTACTGGGATTGAGCCTGCAACCCAGTCATGTGCCCTGACCGGAAATCGAACTGTGACCTCCTGGTTCATAGATCAGTGTTCAACCAGTGAGCACGCCAGCTGGGCTTACAAGGATTTCTGTTTGCAGCCATGAGGCTAACCAGTCACATGCTTACCCTCTCAGCAGAAACAACTCTATGATTGGGCTAAAATACACATTATGTAAGTATTTTCAGGTATAACAGGTGTGTGATCAATGAGAGAAAGAAACACATGAGGTGAGCCCCACATTTACCCTGATACTCAGAGGAACCCAAGCAAGATAAATACTAAGAGAATAACACCTAAGTAAGCAATACTATAACTTCTGAAAACTGGGCTGGGGAGGGTGTGGGGTGAGGGTGGCGGGAGAGACATTACCCATGGGAGAGAATCACTAATTCTGACTTCTTGAAAAATTAAAACACATTTATAGGATATCTAAGTAGCAAAAGCTTAATATCTGGCAAGACTTGTCTTTTGCAATTTTATCCTTGGGAGAAATATATGTTTATACTGAAGTATACAAGGCATACTTTATCCTGAAGTTTTTCTTTTAAAAAATATATTTTATTGATTTCAGAGAGGAAAAGAGAGGGAGAGGGAGATAGAAATATTAATGATGAGAAAGAATCATTGATTGGCTGCCTCCTGCACGCACCACACTGGGGATTGAGCCTGCAACTGGGTATGTGTCCTGACCGGGAATCAAACTGTGACCTCCTTCCTGGTTCACAGATGGACACTCAACCAATGAGCCACGCCAGCTGAGCTGATGTTTTTCTTGATCTAGATAGTTACCAGCCTAGCAAGGCATTCATGCTCTTGTGGCATATTCTCTTTTATGGATACGTTGATCTCACATTTACTTTTTTTTGTTACCACACTCTGCTATAATGTGTACTTTTCCCCCTTTATGTGAATTCAGCAAGTTGGAATCGACCAGAACAACATTCCATATCTTACTCAGGTCAGTGTATCTCTCCTATGTATTTAAATGACTTTTCTATCTTTATGTTTCTATGTTTATTATGTTAATCATAATCTGAGACTCCATCCTTTGCCATATACCTATATGTGTATTTTCATTTCCCCATGAATAACATATGTGTATATATCAGCAATTTTTAGCCTTCTTAATCTCATGGCACTCATAAACTAATTACTAAAATTCTGTGACACACCAAAAAATATATTTTTGGTTGATCTGACAAAAAAAATGTATAATTTTGATTCATTCACATTGGACAGCTATTTTATTGCCTATTGTTACTTTTTTAAATTTGACAATCCAAGGGAAAAGAAGTCAGTGCTCCAAACTATTATAAATAGTCAGGTATTGCATGCTTTAAAAATTGTGACACACCCAGTTGAAAATCACTGGTATATACACATAGACTTAGGTCTTCTGAATAGGTCTGTGAGCTTTTGGTCTTATAAAGAGACTGTTCCCTGCTGAGTGCCAAATGGTGACTCATAACAACTAAACCATGCTTTTTTGTTGTTAATCCTCACCCAAGAATATTGATCATTGACTAGTGGCCCGGTGCATGAATTTTGTGCACTCGGGGAGGGGGTCCCTCAGCCCAGCCTGTGCCCTCTCACAGTCTGGGAGCCCTAGGGGATGTCTGATAGCTGGCTTAGGTGTGCTTCTGGCTGAGCAGTGCTCCCCCTGTGGGAACACACTGATCACCAGGGGGCAGCTCCTGCATTGAACGTCTGCCCCCTGGTGTTCAGTACACATCATAGCGACCAGTCAAATGGTCAAACAGTTGACTGGGTGCTTAGGCTTTTATATATATAGATTGCCAGGAGACAAATTATAAACATACAAAGAGAAAAACCTATAATTTCAGTAAAGGTAAGTGATGTGAAGGAAAATCAAACATAGTGTGGGTAAAGAGACTTGGTAGATACTGTACCATATAGGATAGTCAAGAAAATCTCTGTTGAGGTTACATTTCAGCAGAGGCCAGAAACTATTATTTAATTTGCTAAATATGAGTGAGATCCTCGTTTTTTTCCCCTCTAATTCTCAGTTTCTTTCTTTCCCCTTCTACCTCTTCTCCTTAATGTTATACTTAAATTTATTTTATGATCTGGTGATTCATGAAGAAACTACAAATAATAAATTATTTCAAGCCCAATGTCTTTTCCAAAGGGGATAGATATTTTAGCAGTTCTTTGATCATTTTAAGAGGCCTTTTTTCCCCCTGTTGTTTTTAAAAATTGTACATAAAAGCAGTTTGAAAATCTGATTTGGTAACAAGAGATCACTTTTTAAAAACTGTAATTTTATTGATTTCAGAGAGGAAGGGACAGGGAGGGAGAGAGAGAGAGAGAGAAAGAAACATCAACAATGAGAGAGAATCATTGGTTGACTGCATCCTGCATACCTCCTACTGGGGATCGAGCCCACAGCCCAGGCATGTGCTCTGATCGGGAATCAAACTACGACCTTCTGGTTCATAGGTCGATGCTCAACTACTGAGCCACACTGGCTGGGCCCAAGCGGTCATTTTTTAATAATGAATTTACTTATAAAAATTATTTAGCTTTAATGAATTTGCTGCACAGGTGTTGTAATTTTTCTTCAAAAACCTTTTGATGATATAGGTGAGTATGAATTTGCTAAATATAGCAAAATAACTTTCATAATAACTTCCTTTTTAGGCACCAAACAGTTTACTTGAAGCACTGAAACAACACTTGGCTTCATTGGATGAGAAAAATGAAATTTTTCCTCCTTACAGGTAAGTTAATAAATGTCTCAGTATTGGTTAATTTTGTTTTCCTCTAAATAATTTCCCTCATTTTAACAACATGAGAGTGACTACATAAAATATGGGCTTTGAATATGATGGAATATTATGTAGTGATGTTAAGTTATAATACAGAATAGAATTTTTCAGTCTTTTGTGGGATTCCATCCTCTTCACAAGGGTAGTTTCTTCCCAGAGGAATGTGTTTTATTACACTGAGTGATTATCAAAGTCAGAGGTTGGGACTGGATTAGCCACCTCTTTTGAACAATTTGATTTTCTCCTTTAGGGGTTTCCATAGTGAGAATAACTGTTATAGACAATTATTTAATGGCATAGCAAATTGTTTATCCATAAAATAGTATTCATATTAACATTCAAGGAATATATGTGTATATATATTATACACACACACATGTGCACCCCACTACATATGCATATACATATGAATTGAATAATACAGATTTTTGGTATACCAGTTGGAAATGTTCCCATGAGATATTTCTGAGAGGAAAATTCTGGTTGATTTCAATTTTCTTTTTTGTACTTTTCACTATTATTCAAAATTTCCGTAAGGGTCATGCATTATGCATTCATTCCTCTTTAGTTTATGTTGATTATAATTGATTTATATTATCACCTTCTATTAGACAACAGGTCTGTTGACTATTTCTTAATTATCTCTTCATCACAGATAGATGTATAGTTAGTATATGATTGGATGGATTGATTGATAGATGAATGGATAGATGGATGAATTAAAGAAATATAAATTCAGTTGGGTTGTATACATGTCATTCTATTTATTCTCATGTGCCTCATATTTCTTGTGATCTCTTAAGTCTCCAGCACTCATTGATTCAATCCATCTCAAAGAATTCACTTATGAAAACTTCATCAAGGCAAAATTTGTTTTCAGGTAATATTATTATATATGATTATGTAATATAATATGATTATATTGTATAAATATCAGTAATAATTGGGTACAGGATTAGAATCTTTAGTTTTTCCACTGCATAACCACTTACTAGGTCTGCTGCCTCTTTGATTTCACTTCTAGGAACTCACCTAATATTTATCACATATATATTTAGAGTTGTGAAGTGATGTATGAACAAGGATATCCATTGCAACATTGTAATAGCAAAATAACTATGAATAAGGGGTTTGTTTTTATGCACTGAAATGGAATGTTATCCAAGATGTATTGTTAAATTGAATATGAGCAAGATGTGAAACAAAGTATAGTATGCTACCATCTTTGTTTTTCAAAACAGAAAAGGAGAGAATATATGTTTATATCATTTCTATATACAATAAATGAATAAGATACCCTTTCTCCATGCAGAACTTAGTGGTTCAAGGTAAGAGATGGGTGGGAGAGTCTTCACTGTATACCATTTTGTAATTTTTGAATTTTGTCCATGCAAATGATTACTAATTAAAAGGAAAAATTTGCAAAGAAGCACATACCGGTAAATACATACATACAGTCTGATATATTGTAATTTCTTTTTTAAAAATATATTTTATTGATTTCTTACACAGAGGAAGAGAGAGGTATAGAGAGTTAGAAACATCGATGAGAGAGAAACATCGATCAGCTGCCTCCTGCACACCTCCCACCGGGGATGTGCCCGCAACCACTGTACATGCCATTGACCGGAATCAACCTGGGACCCTTCAGTCCACAGGCCAATGCTCTATCCACTGAGCCAAACCGGTTTCAGCTGTAATTTATTTTTAAAAAATATCTTTATTAATCTTAGAGAGGAAGGGAGAGGGAGAAATAGATAGATATACCAATGATGAAAGAGAATCATTGATCAGCTGCCTCCTGCATGTCCCTTACTGGGTATCAAGCCCGCAACCTGGGCATATGCCCTTGACCAAAATCAAACCTGGGACACTTCAGTCTACAGGCTGATGCTCTATCCACTGATCAAAACCAGTGAGGGCACACTGTAACTTCTTAAGGCTAGTTTACTTTATAATTCACTAGTGTGCTAGATACAGCTCATACCAGCTTACAATAGCCCATTGGTAAAATTTCACGAATTTTTCAAGCTATTTGATGTCACATTAGTAACTGGAAATTGGCCATGATAGAAATATTTACACCACAGGAATGGACAAACACTACAAAACAGGCCTTTTTTTTTTCTGGAGAGCTTGCTGCTATACATTTATTCATATGACCATTCAAAATCAGCCATATTCTATTTTTTAATGGCTGATTGTGTTTCAACAATGTTACTTGATCCTTTAGACACAAATCCATGTAATAATGAGCTATATTATCATCTTACCTAATAATAGACAAACATGGAAATTGACTGTACCTCTGCTACGCCCACAGCCAATCAGGAGTGAGTATGCAAATTAACCTGCCAAAGATGATGGGTTAATTTGCATATGCAGGCACGGAGAGGCCTGGCGGGGTGGGATAACTGCTATGAGGTGGGGGGAGGTCGAGGGAGCTACAGGAGTGGTGCTCTGGCCAAGAGTGAGGACTTGGCGTCTCCCAGGTGACCCGGGAGTGAAGCCAGAGGAAGGAAGGCCTAGTCTTGCACGAATCTTCGTGCAATGGGCCTCTATTAATAGTAGGGTTTATATGCATCTGAATTAAAGTTTTTAATTTAATGCAAAGATTTAAACTATATCTATTCTAAATGTTTTTCTTTTTCTTTTGTGCATATTATCAATGGATGCACCTGAAATTTCAATGGGTGAGTTTAATCCAAACTCTGATGAATGTAAGTCCTTTGAGTCAAACCACATATATAGCAAAAACTGTACGTTTGCATCATTTCCAAAAGAATGAATATTTTTCTGAGTTCCTATGGTTTGGGAATCATCAGTGCTTACAGCAGATATTATAAACACAGTGGTTAACAAGCTATGGATTTAGTCTGCTGTGGATATGAATTCCAAGTAAAGTACAGGGGAAACAGGGGTGCTACTCGCACGCTATCATAAAGACCTATGGGCCTGATTACCAACAGACCCAAACTGGTGATCGCTACACATGCTACCCTAAGTACTTGGCCCAGGTTGCTTACCACTCATTGCTTGAACCAGTTCTGTTGAAAATTCTGTGGCTAGCTGAACCCATGTTTTCTCTCTTTTTTAAAAAAAATATTTTTTTATTGATTCCAGTAAGGAAGAGAGAGGACGAGAGGAATAGAGACATCAATGATATGAGAGACTCATTGGTTGGCTGCCTCCTGCACGCCCCACACTGGGGATCGAGTCCGCAATTTGGGCATATGCCCTGGCCAGCAATCGAACAGTGATCTGGTTCATAGGTCGATGCCCAACCACTGAGCGACACCAGCTGGACCACCTTTTCTCTTAAATCATTGTGATTTAAAATATTGGTCATAGACCAGAGTGCTTGTATTCAAATTTCACTCTACCATTCATGGACTTTGTGATTTTGAGCAGGTAACTTAACCTTATTGTGTCTCAGCTTCCTTGATCTCATAAGGTTATCGGGATAAATGAGTCAATACATGTAAAGTGCTTAGAACAGGGCTTGACCCATGTGTTACATAGAAGTGCATTTTAAAATGGTATGTCTATAGGGATCTCCTAATGATCTATTTTGTTATTGAATTCTAGCTTAGTTGCACTATATCAGGGAACCTTCTCTATAGACACTGAGTGGCCAGATTATTATGATCTCTGAATGCATAATCATCTGGCCATTCGGTGTACTTATGTATAAGGGAAAGCTTGCAAATCTTGATATGTCAAGGGACCAGGAGATGGTGGCTCCAGCCTCTGGCTAGTAAGTCCTCTGCTTCTTTCTAACTACCCACAATGCAGTTCTTACACATGGAAAAACCTTATTTTAAAATCCTAACTCTGTGGTCAGTCTATACAGAGTGGCCAGATTATGAGTTCAAAGATCATAATAATCTGGCCACTCAGTGTAATTTCAGTCCTTTGGAATTTGTTGATACATGGCCCAGCATATAATCACTTTTTTTGTAAAAGTTTTAGGCACACTTGAAACTTGAAAACTGTATCCTGTCGTTGGGTACAGTGTCAATTAGGTGAAGGTTGTTAATTGTGTTGTTCAAATCCTCTATCATTTTTCAAAATTGATTTTATTGATTCCAGAGAGGAAGGGAGAGGGAGAGAGAGAGAATCATCAATGATGAGAGAAAATCATTGGTGGGCTGCCTCCTGCACGCCCCACACTGAGGATTGAGCCTGAAACCTGAACCGTGACCTCCTGGTTCATAGATCAACACTCAATCACTGAGGTATGCTGGCTGGGCCAGATTGTATTTCTTCAATGGTTTCACTTGAATGTGTGAAGGGGGTTCAAAATTCAATATGTCCCAAAACCATGCTCCTGATACTCTACCCCCAAATTTGCTTTTTCTATGGGTTTCCCCATCTCAGTTAATGACAGATTAATTCCTTTGATAATTCTGATTCTAAATATATTGGCCTCTTCACTATTCTTTAAACACGCCAACCACTCTGCTTCCCTTGAGGCCTTTGTTCATGCTGTTCTTTCTGCTGGATTTACATGGTTCAGTCTTGCACATCCTTCAGTACTTTATTTAAAGGTTCCTTACTCGGTGAGCCTTTCCTATCTAAAATTTAAGTATTCCACCAGCCAATGTGGCTCAGTGGTTGAGCGTTGACCTCTGAACCAGTAGGTCATGCACGGTTCGATTCCCATCCAGGGCGCATACCCAGGTTGCAGGCTCGCTACCCAGTGGAGGCAGCCGATCAGTGATTCTCTCTCGTCATTGATGTCTGTCTCTCTCCATCTCCTTCCTCTTTGAAATAAATAAAAATACATTTAAAAAATAAAACTGAAGTATGCCCCCCCCCCCCCCCAGCACATAGCATTCCCAGTTCCCTGATATTTTTTCTTTGGCATTTATCACATTCTAACATAGTATGTGCTTTATTTGTCTTTGTTATTTTCTATCTCCTATAGAATGAAAACTACACCAAGACAAGGAT